AAAATAAGCAAGTACTGTATTTTTAATATTAAATATACTTTAATCCATAACATATTCATCATTTAAATTCCTATTAACTCTTCAAAACAAGCACACACTAAAATCACTCCAATACCAATGAACAATATTATATATATATATATATAATTTGAATCCCTTTTAAGTAAAGATTCTTGGTTAAATCTGGGTTCTCACATCTATATGTATATTAATTAACTGTAAATAATATTTTAAAAATTTAATAAAAAAAATTAATTATAATACATAATGAAGATGCTGTTATTTAAAATAATGCACAGCAAATTAATAAAAATAAAATTAAAAATGAGGAATTGTGGCATTACAGTCTGAGGCATTGAGGATTGAACTTTGATGTCTGATAGTCTAAAACAGTGTTCTGCAACCTATTTCTACTCGCAGCACACCTATGACTTGATATGACTCAACATGGCACACCAAAATGTTATTCCCCTCAAAAACGTATGATATGATACTATTAATAGAATTTCATAATGCCATAAACCTATTATTATTATTATTATTATGTTGAGTCTTGTGACTTACACTTGGTTGACACCAATGGCTGTGTACTATGCTGGACCAGAGTCAAGGCATAATAACTTCAAAACAAGACAAAAATTAAATAAGTGTATCAGTGTGTGTATGTATTCAGGAATTTCCTAACAATATGATGTATTCAATATAGTGGCCTTCTGTAGTGTAATATATGTGTTTTTATTCAATTTTAATGTTCCCGGGCTTTTGTATAGTGTAGTATGACACCTGTAGAGGAGAGAACGACAGGTACAATAAGCACCCTATCAATCCTCCACAGATGACTTATTTCCTGGGCAAGTTCTGTGTACTTGCTGAATTTTTCACTGCATGTGTTTTGTACATTGTCAGTGTTTGGAACAGATATGTTTATAATGTATGTGATTTTATTGTGTTTGTCAAAGAATGTGATGTCTGGTCTGTTGTGGTAAATTGTTTTATCTGTGATTATGGCTGTTGTAGTACATTTTGTGCTTTTTGTTTTCCAATACTGTCTGTTGAATGTATTTGTAGTATGGTTCGTGGAGTCTAATAATTTGTGTTTCTTTGCAAGCTCTTGATGTATTTGCTACTTGATTATGTCTATGTAAATTATCTGTCTGTGCCAAGAGCTTGCAATCAGAAGTGAGGTGTTGTATGATTTCTGGCATGATGTAATATTTTCTGCATATGTTGTTTGTGATTGTTGTATCTTTGAGTATGTGTTTTCTGTAGTTTTTAGTATTATGACCTGATCCTGTATGGAAATCATGAATCTTTCCATCTCCCCAAAGAGACATCCGCAAGCTAACCAGCTGTTTGATGCAGTTTTTTCAACAAAATCTTGGCCAGGTCATAGGGATGTCTGCCATGGAATGCCTTTCGCACCCATGATTGCTTAATTAATAGTGTCTATGCTATTTATATGTTGTGTCATGTCCATACGATGTGAGTGTAAGTTTAATGGTGTGTTATTTGAGTCTGCTAGAGTTACTGCTTTATGTAACTGTGATGTTTCTTGTTTTTTGTTGAAAAACTTTCAAAATGTCTGTATTTGTTTGTAGTGGAGGTTAACTATGTTGATCAGGCCATGTCCGCCATCTTTACGTGGAAGGGTTAATCTTTCTATAGCAGATTTAAGATGATGATGTTTATGCTTCTTGTTTTCATTTGGAGTTGCTCAAGATCTGTGTGAGTCCAATGTATAACTCTAAAAAATAAGTGAGTACTGGGATGACAAATGTGTTTATTGCTTTAACATCATCTTATTTCATTAGTGAATGAAATACAAGCATAAGAAACACAGCAACTGTGATAAAAATATATAAATACTTGATGATACTTACAGGATTACAGAACAAGGTACTTTAGTTAAAAATATTTTATTTCAATTGTCAAAGTACTTCTGTTAATAATATTTTCAAATAAAACTTGAAATTAAGAATATGTAAAAGTTCACGTCACACCGTTCACCTTATGACGGCACACCAGTTGCGGAACACTGGTCTAAAACATTTGACTTTTTTGAGATTTCAGTTTTTTCTGTTAATATACTTGCTGTTCTCATTCAAATAAACTATTTCATTTTACTGTGAGAAATCTGCTTCTAAGCAAACATTTGTGTTAGTGAATGAGGCCAATGTAACTTTATTATACAGTAGTACCTCAGGATACGAACGCCCCAGCATACGAAATTTTCACTATACGACATGAAATTCGAACATATTTTTGCTCCACGATACGAACAAAAACTCACCATACGACGTTACATTAGTTCGCAGCGCCANTCTATATGTATATTAATTAACTGTAAATAATATTTTAAAAATTTAATAAAAAAAATTAATTATAATACATAATGAAGATGCTGTTATTTAAAATAATGCACAGCAAATTAATAAAAATAAAATTAAAAATGAGGAATTGTGGCATTACAGTCTGAGGCATTGAGGATTGAACTTTGATGTCTGATAGTCTAAAACAGTGTTCTGCAACCTATTTCTACTCGCAGCACACCTATGACTTGATATGACTCAACATGGCACACCAAAATGTTATTCCCCTCAAAAACGTATGATATGATACTATTAATAGAATTTCATAATGCCATAAACCTATTATTATTATTATTATTATGTTGAGTCTTGTGACTTACACTTGGTTGACACCAATGGCTGTGTACTATGCTGGACCAGAGTCAAGGCATAATAACTTCAAAACAAGACAAAAATTAAATAAGTGTATCAGTGTGTGTATGTATTCAGGAATTTCCTAACAATATGATGTATTCAATATAGTGGCCTTCTGTAGTGTAATATATGTGTTTTTATTCAATTTTAATGTTCCCGGGCTTTTGTATAGTGTGGTATGACACCTGTAGAGGAGAGAACGACAGGTACAATAAGCACCCTATCAATCCTCCACAGATGACTTATTTCCTGGGCAAGTTCTGTGTACTTGCTGAATTTTTCACTGCATGTGTTTTGTACATTGTCAGTGTTTGGAACAGATATGTTTATAATGTATGTGATTTTATTGTGTTTGTCAAAGAATGTGATGTCTGGTCTGTTGTGGTAAATTGTTTTATCTGTGATTATGGCTGTTGTAGTACATTTTGTGCTTTTTGTTTTCCAATACTGTCTGTTGAATGTATTTGTAGTATGGTTCGTGGAGTCTAATAATTTGTGTTTCTTTGCAAGCTCTTGATGTATTTGCTACTTGATTATGTCTATGTAAATTATCTGTCTGTGCCAAGAGCTTGCAATCAGAAGTGAGGTGTTGTATGATTTCTGGCATGATGTAATATTTTCTGCATATGTTGTTTGTGATTGTTGTATCTTTGAGTATGTGTTTTCTGTAGTTTTTAGTATTATGACCTGATCCTGTATGGAAATCATGAATCTTTCCATCTCCCCAAAGAGACATCCGCAAGCTAACCAGCTGTTTGATGCAGTTTTTTCAACAAAATCTTGGCCAGGTCATAGGGATGTCTGCCATGGAATGCCTTTCGCACCCATGATTGCTTAATTAATAGTGTCTATGCTATTTATATGTTGTGTCATGTCCATACGATGTGAGTGTAAGTTTAATGGTGTGNTGTAACCCTATGAAATACTCTGTCATGAAATCTGTTGGAGATTGGAATAGGGACATGGCAGCCAATTCATTTACCAGGACATTCTTAGAAACAAATTTCTGGGCATTCCTAAAAATTTTTTGTTGCTGTATTCAATGAAAAGAATCTCATGTTACGTGTTCTGATTAATTTTTTACTTTTCCAGCTGTTATATATAACAGAGAGAAAATATGGTAATTGGTCAAAAAATGACCCTCCCCAAGATTTTTACATTTCTAGACTTAGAACACCTTAAAATGTCAAGATGTTTAATGTGTGTGGGAAGGGTACAATTTTGTTCATCCTCTTTGAGGCTTAATAACTCCTGTGCTTTCTGTCAAAAATTTATGAAATTTTGCAGGGAGGTTTGTTTATTAGGAGGATTGATGCTATTAAATTTTGGTAGTTAAAGTTTGAGGAGGAGATAAAGGGAGATCATGTGTTATATCTCAAGTAGGATTGGACTTAATGATGATTTTACTTGCTAACATTTACAATTTTTTATAAAACCCATCTGTACACTCAAAATTAAGCATTTTGCCATTTTATAATAGTTAAAAATATAAAAAGTTTTTTAATAAAATATGATAACAAATGGTGCTATTAAATGTTGTTGGAAAAGTTAAGTAACTTGTTGCTGAAGTTTTTACTAAGAATTATATTCTGATCAATAAATTGTAGATATCCCCATTTAATTAAAATATATCCAAGTAGTAGGATTATAAATATCCATAAAAATGTTGTAAACTTTTTAATGAAAGGAAGAATTATCAATAAAATATGGTCAAAATATTTATAAATATTAAAAATATATTACAGATAGGACAATAGCAGATGGGACTGTACCTCTTATTGCAGTTGTTGTCACTCTTGGTATTTTAGTATTGGTTGCATCAATTGCTACTTGTTATCGTTATTGGACAATTCGTCGAAACCGTCCACGCATACCATTTTGGAGCATAGAATTACAGGACGATAATCCTCCAAATTGCAACTATCAGCATCTAGATGTTTCAACAAATAAAATTATTGAAACACCAACAAGTTCATTGGAAGCAGGAAAATTGTATTCACCTTCATCTCCAAAGACTTATAATGCCATCAATGTTTGAAAAGTTTTAATTGTGATTGACCAAAAACAAACAAAAACAAAAACTAATACATAACTATGCATTTGTAAATGAAATGCATGAAAATTTTTTAAAATTGTGAAAAATGAATTAAACTCATATTCTAGTCTGTGCCTTTTGCTTCTGAAACCACCATGATATAAATACTCAATTATGGCACGTTTAAAATATAAAAATATCCAAAGTTATTTTAGATAATAATTTATAAAAATAAATTTTAGGAAAAGAAAGAGCTTTACAACTTCCCCCAACATCAACAGTTAAAACTGTGTCTAATTTGAATCCTGGCACCAAATATGCTGTGATATTATCATCAATTTATGAAGGTTTCAAAGAAGTTTCTGCACCAAAATTCACTGTTGGCACGAAAGAATCAGATCTACCAGCAAGAGATGATACTTACAGGATTACAGAACAAGGTACTTTAGTTAAAAATATTTTATTTCAATTGTCATAGTACTTCTGTTGTTAATATTTTCAAATAAATCAAATTTACAGAATTTTATTCTTTTTAAACTGATTTAATTTTGAAAGTAACATTTTATATATTATGTAAACTTTAAGAATGATTGAAAATATCTAGCATAACTACTTTTCTTTGTAACAATTATAAGTTTATTCATTTGAACAGCACAATGTTAAGAAAAAATGTAAAAATTCCATATAAATATTTGCAAACACTTATTTTTATTTCTTAATTTATAACATAGAAATTATGAATAACAAACTACATAAATGATATTCAGTTTTACAAATATTTAAATTTTAATAATTTGTTTATCCATCATATCAACACTACTGGTGTAAGAATTAATAAAATAACTACGAAATTACCAACAAACCAGCAATAATTCACTTCAAAAACGAACGTTTTCTACCATCTTCAACGGTCATCATCAGGTTAGATTCCAAGAGTTCGAAAAATCGAACATCGAAGTTATGCGCATGTCTGATGCAGAGCCTTAACAAAATTATTTGTGTAATTGGTTTCCTGTTTTAAAATTTCGATGTTTATATAAAAAAATAGAGACATATATGATGCGCCTCCATTATACGTCATAACACGCCCTCCACACCGTCGCCAATGAGTCTGTTTCCTTGAAATTGATGGCTATTCCCTTTCTGAACGCTTTAAAAATTTCTAGCTGTTCTAGATATTTCAGGCTGACCTGGTGTTCACACCGTTGTATTAAATGTGCATTATCAAAGTCCACTGTGATGTCATCATCAAGCGTGAAAGAAGCCAATGCTGTAGTGGAAAGGCATTTTTGAATTGAGTATTTGTGTTCCTTGATCCTTGCTTTAAGGCAGCATGCAGTAGCACCAATATATTCACCTGGATGATTCACACTATGATCGTAAATAGGGATAGAATGTATTCCCGGAATACAATTCCTATCAAAACAGTCCTTATCATTTTGTAAACATGAGAAAATGGTCGGCGATCTTCTGTAAGCGATAGTTTTACTTGCATGTTTAATACAACGGTGTGAGCACCAGGCCAGCCTGAAATATCTAGAACAGCTGGAAATTTTTAAAGCGTTCAGAAAGGGAACAGCCATCAATTTCAAGGAAACAGACTCATTGGCGACAGCGTGGAGGGTGTGTTATGACGTATAATGGAGGCGCATCGTACATGTCTCTATTTTTTTATATAAACATTGGAATTTTAAAACAGGAAACCAATTACACGAATAATTTTGTTAAGGCTCTGCATCGGACATGCGCATAACTTCGATGTTCAATTTTTCGAACTCTTGGAATCTAACCTGATGATGATCGTTGAAGACGGTAGAAAATGTTCATTTTTGAAGTGAATTATTGCTGGTTTGTTGGTAATTTTGTAGTTATTTTATTAATTTGTTTATCATTCATAACATTTAAAAATTTAGTAAAATACTGCTCAGTTCATTCTGAGTGTAATAGAAATGTTATGAGAAAGTTAAATATTCAAACAGCTTCTTATATATTTGTTTTATTCTACATATTTTTTTGTAAAATTAATCTTTGTGTATCAAATTTTTAAAATAAGTTTTCTGTATTTAAATATTCTTTAATCACAAATGAATGATAAACATCTGTTTTTGATAAATGACTTACTTATAAAGTTCATAGAAAGTATAATAATTTAATATATAATTATCTACAGAAATAGTTAATCATAATTATTAATGTTTAGCTACTTTTATAGATAATTGCATTATAATTATTTTCATCACATTTTATAATTTTTCTTTTTATGAAAAATGAGAGATGCTTGTTGATTTTTAAATTACATTACATTCTGTTAAAAAAAAAAAACACATATTTAAATGTATTTAATATTAAAAATAAAATTTTGCCACTAACGCCTGTATTTTCAATTTTTAGTGTGAGTCATAAACACACTATAACAAACACAATAAGCAGTGATTATCTCCATCAATCACTGTTTCAATTATCATGATTTTACACTATTTAATTAATAAATTTTATTCTTTAAAATAAATGTTTTATTGTACATAAAATTAATGATGTTATTGATATTATTATTTATTCATAAGTGTTTTCAAACTTATGATCTTCATCACTGATACAAAACTTTGAAACTTTTTCAAAAATTTATTGTTTTTATGAAAAGTTTATTTCATTTGTTTACAATTTTAGACTGTGGCCAAAAAATTAGAGACACCCCTTATTTGAAAGTAAATCAGTCCAACAGTGATGTAACAATGCAGAGTTGCTTATATAAGGTATGCTTAGCTTTGGACAACATAGTTATCATGGAAGTTAATGTCAAAAAGAGTAAGATGAAAGATTTAAGTGACTTTGAATGAAGGATGATCATCAGTGCAAGAAGAGCTGCTGTCAGCATCTCTGAAACAATGACTCTTTTAGGATTTTCTCACCCAGTATCCCAGGTGTTTAGAGAGTGGCAGTTGAAAAAAAAAACTTCAAGCAATAAGGACAATTCTGGTCAAAAAAGGCTGATGAACGTGAGAGGTGAAAGGTGATTAACACGCATAGTCTGCAGCAACAGAAGGGCAACAATACGACAAATTACAGCTGAATTCAACGCAGGTGCATCACAAAGCATATCCCAACACACAACAAAACACACTTTGCAAAAGGATGGGCTTTAGCAGCATGAATCAAGAATGCCTTTGGTATCACAGAAAAATAGGAAAAGCTGCATGTTGTGGGCCAGGAATGATGAACTTCGTCACTTGAGGACTGGAAAAAATAGCCTTGTCCAATGAATCTCGTTTCCTACTATATCATACAGATGGCAGGATCAGAATATGGCACAAACAGCATGAATTCATGGACCCCTCCTGCCAAATGACACCTCTTCAGGCTGGTGGCAGTGGAATTATGGTGTGGGGAATGTTTCCTAGAGTACACTAGGTCTCTTAATATTTGTGGACACATCTCTGAATATAACAGCTTACCTCAACATCAATGCCGATCACGTACACTAGTTTATGGCTGTAATATTCCCTGATGGAGATGGTCACTTTCAGCAGGACAATGCACATTGTCACCATACTCAATTGGTCTCAAATTGGTTTGAGGAATGTCAGTCATAGTTTAATCTGCTGCCATGGCCAGCTCAGTCCCCTGACCTCAGTCCTACAGAGAATTTGTGGGGCAAAGTCAAAAGATCATTTCAAAGCTTGGAAATGCCACCATCCAATCTGACCCAACTTAGAGCTACCATTATGTTAATATGGGCCAACATTCCTCAGCAATGGTATCAGCAGCTTGTTGAGTCCATACCAAGAAGAATATCGGCTGTGATGAGAGCTAAAGGTGGACCAACTCATTATTAGAGGATGTCTCTAATTTTTGAGCCACTTAGAGTATAAATGTGATATTTGAAGTTTGATACAATATTGTTAATTTTGCTGATTACAATTCTATCTCTGCTTTTACTTTCTGCCTGTGGGTACAAACAGGTCTTTTTAAGCAGCCTTTAATCATTGTGGATTTGGACAAGCTCTCAATGAGATGTTGAATAATGAAGTACAAGGCCTAACATTTCTAGACTAGACTATCTATGAAAAATTTTCGAGGATCTGGATTTAAACATGAGCTATTTAGAAGGGAAGATATGCATCTTAACCACTGGCCATCATTTATATAATTTTATTTAATTGTACTAATGAGAAAAATTAGAGCAAAATAAAAAAACAAAGAAATAATACTACATTAATTAAAGCTATGTTTGAATATACTTAAAACTTTTCTACTGTTAATATATGTTTACAACTGTAAGCTAACATATTAACAGTAGAAAAGTTATAAGTACAGGTAGCCCTCGGTTTACGCTAGCTCAATTTATGCCGATTCACAATAACACTGCTGAGCAATTCACCATTTTGCGGTGTAATTCTCCGATTTTCCCTATGCTAGACTGATTTTCATTTCAGTGTTGACATATTTACCGAGCTGCGACATTGCACATTCATTAAAACAAAGATTTTTATTGAATATACAGCTCTCCCTTGATAGTCCGACGTTTTTTAATCCGACATGCTCAGTAGTCTGACACACCTCCTGTCAAGGTACCCATCCCCGTTACGTGTTTGCTTGCACAGAAGCATGTTGCAACGTGAATCTCCCCATCCAATTCTTACACGATGACATACATTTTGTGTGTTTTCTGTGAGCAGTTCTGTTCGAACAGTTGGAGTAGGGAATATTGTAAGCTACTGCTAGCAAAACAATGCAAAATATGTAATTATTTTCGGTAATCCAACACCCCTTTGGTCCCATACCTGTCGGACTATTAAGGAAGAGTTGTATTTGTTTTTTCTGTTTAATATTATTGGGTATGTATACATTTGTATTAAATTAATATTAAAATACTAAACGTTTAGGTACCCACGAGTCAAGTTATTAAACTTAATATTCCAATAAATGGCATCAGAATCCATAGCGCCAATGAATGTATCTTGTATCAGTTCGTTCAGGAAAACACTTTACAATGCAATAGCACTTCCGGCAATCACAAACTATCGTTAGTGAGACAAATCTACTTCTCATTGGCCAGATGATACTTTTTTATTAGCCAGACAATATCTATCTCTCCTTAGCCACCTTGAATTTTCCTGCTCAAACTGACCTTATATATGTGCTACGGTCGACCAATCAGTGTCTCCGCTCGTCTGTGGCTCTACATCGGGTTAACGTATCCTTTCAACTATGGAAAGTTTGACGGATGAACTTTGTGAGTTAGACAATGATTGGGAACGAAGTGCAAATGTAAAAAGGAGCATTATATTTGACCATATTCTGAAATTCTCAATGAAAGAAAACAAAAATGTAAGAGATCCAAAACTAAAATTTTTTAAATAAAAACATTTCACTTTATTTTATGGTCAAATACATTTTAAAAATTAAATTTATTTGTATTTTGTATTATATTGTATTAATAAACAAAATTATTTGCTTATTTTTCACTTATGTAGAAACTAACCCTATACCTCACTGTAAATGTGGGTTTATTTTACGCCAAATTGATTTACACTGGCTTTTGTAGGAACGGAACTGCGGTGTAAACCAAGGGCTACCTGTATAAAAAATTGATTATAGTCATTATTTATTTACTTACTGATTTTAATTAGAACAATATATAGTAATATATGAGGAGGGCATTCAGAAAGCTCCCAGAAAATGTAATAAAAAAACAGCAAATTGAATTTAGCACTTTAGTTTTCAACATGTATTTCATTTAAGTTAAAGCATCTTTCCATATGGTATCATCAACCTCCTAAGAGAAAAAGATAATGTACACCAGTCTGTTGGAGTTACGTAAAAAATTAATTTTGCAAATACAGTCGACCCCCGTATAACACTGTAGGAATGTTCCGTTCTTTATGAAATTGATATCCTACAAGTCCTTAAATACATGAGCCAATCACAGCCTGGCACATATGCAGTTTACAGACTATGGCTGTTTGAAAGGTTTTCTTCCATAAAATTAATCGATTCTAGACTAATTTGACTCAACATTTCCAAAATACGTATAATTTTTTGGTAATAATCCATATAAACTATGCTATAAACAAAAAATTGTAGGATTACTTACAGAGTGTGCACCATTCGACGATGTCATTGCTTAAGCTTGTTTTTGTCGTGGAATGGCGCATCGAACAGCGGGCGCATGTTTCCTGATAAATTATTTTTCTGCGAAAAATTTGCTGAACTTTGGAGACATCATTAATATAAATATAATTTTTATGGATGTTAAATAATAAATGGATTTAAGTAGGTCCGCTGCTTGTTTAAACTCAACGGTTTGTGCAATATTTGCTATTGGTCTAGATTCGACCAATCCTGTCGTGACACGAGTCGGTGATGACGTTTTACCATTATATAGGAGTCTCTTTTAGCATGTTTATATGAATACGGTCACAATTTTTTTGACGTTATATACGAATCCGAATTATATGAAAGTACAGTAGACCCCCTGTTTTATAGGGGGGTCTACTGTACTTTTGACAGTATATAACTGTCTTCTTCAGGCAGAATTCAAGAAAACTTGTCACTTAAAGGTTTTTGTGGCTCTATTATATTCAAGAAAATTTTATGAAATTGAAATGTTTTGTTCTTTGTGAATAATTCTGCCTGAAAAGGGCAGTTATATACTGTTGAAAGTACTTGCAAAATAAATCTGGACTATAGGGAAGGTGTGGTAAAATTTCCCATTGGTATTCATTACATACTGTCCTGGCAGATCTTGCAGAATGAACCAGTGCATTATCATGATGGAACAAGATATGAAGATGAATTTTCCAGGTTGTTTTTCTTTTAAAGTTGCATACAGTTTCCTTAATTTAAAACTGTTTCAAAATAGCTTGTAATTATTGTTCTTCAATCTTCAAGAAAATCTATGAGCAACATACAGTCAGAATCCCAGAAAATTGTGTCCATTACCTTCATATCCAATCTTATGGCTTTAGCCTTTATGAAAGCATTTGATAACCATTGCTTTAAATGTTGCTTGCTCTTGAAATCAAACTGGTAGATCCAAGTTTATCACCTGTAACAATCCTGTTTAGAAAAACTTCAGAATTAACATCAAATTTGTTTAAAAATTAAAGTAATTAGTCAATGCACAATGTCAGCTGATCTTCACGTGTCAACTTAGCACCAATTGCAGTAAAAGCTTGCTTAGATTTAGCTTATCTTTTAAAGTGCTCTCTGCTGATCCAATGGGTGAATGTTTAAAGTCTGAGCTATCATTTGCACTGTTTTTACTATTGTTTCCAAAGCATGGATATTTTCTTCAGAAAGTGAAGTTGACAATCTTCCACTGGCAACTGTCATCTTTGATGTTCTGTGGATCCTCGCCAAAATGATTTATCCATTCGTAAAGAGTGATTTTCTTTGGTGCATTTTTTCTATAAAATCTGTGATAGCTGTAATAATATCAGGTTTTATTCATCCCAATTTAACTATGAATTTAATGTTAGCACTCCAAATTTAACTGAATCCAATTTTTGCAGATGCAAGGCTAATTTCAAACTGATATAACACCATGCATAAGTCTTGTGCAGTGCTGTTGCGAATTCCTGATAAAACAAGTCTCAACAAATTTATGTTCACATCAATTAATTATAAATATAGCATTTTGTTTATGAATAATTACAATTTTCTGGAAACTTTTTGAATGCCACTTGTATTGTTCTAATTAAAACTGATTATAAATTGAGTTAACATTTTTTAAACATACAATTTATTTTAATATATTTCAAAATATATAAATGTCTCATTTTATTTTAGATTGCAACTGTAGTGAGGTTGGAACATTGGATTGTAAAAGAATTACAAATTCTTGTAATTGTCATGTTGGTTATACTGGTCGGTTCTGTGAAAAATGTTCACAAGGATATTATCTAATGGCTAAGGAATGCAGAGCATGTCCGTGTACAAAATATACTTCTACTGGAAATTGCACTTTAGGTATTTATGTTATTAAAACAAATCTTTTAATTGAAATTAAAAGTTATTTCATTTTACAGTACTTATTTATCAATTAAACATGAGATTGCATTTAGAATTTGAAATCTCTCATGCAATTTGCAAAGCTAAAATTTAAAAAAATTGTAACTTGCCTAATTTGGAATATATTTTTTGGAATTAATCTTATGCAACTATTTTTTCATTATTTCTTTTGCATTGTAACAAAGTATTTTAATATAAGTAGTTTTTTTGTTTTTTTTGGTGATACATATGACTTGTATCTGAGATTTTATGTTGGGTAATGAATAAAATACATCATATGTTAATGTGATCTTGACTATATATCAAAATTTTATACCGAGTGGGCCTTTAAAAAGCATTAGAAAAATTTTGGCATTAATAATAAAAAAATTTATTATTTTGTATTTTGCAGTCAATGATAAAATTATTGTATGAATTGTATTAATGCAAGTTTCATAAACTGTTCAACATTTAAGTGTGACTCATTAACGATTGTAGAAAAAGTACAATATGATCAATTCACCAATAAGTCATATCAAAGTGAAAATTTTGAAAAGAGTATTAATTAATTAATTTAATTAAACCATAAATTTTACAGATTTATATTTTTATATTGCAGTGATAATCTTATTAATTGAATAAATTAATGCATTATAATGAAATGAAAACTGCTTTAATAAATATAAAGTATTATAAATCTTAAAAAACATTATAATTAATTTGATCTGACTTTTAGATAACCACAGTTTAAAAACATCATCTAAATCAACAATCATAATTATGAATTCATTATAATAACTATATTAAACAGTTATAGCTTAAAAATTAAAATACCAATTGAGTAATAATAATTAATTCAATGAGAAATGAAATTAATTTATATATATAATGTATTAATAATGAAAACGCTTTAAGATGCAGTCTTTTTTATTTAAACTTCTAACATTTTTAGACTACTTTATTGATCTTCCTCAGGAAAATCAAACATGATTATATAACAAACTAAACTTATTCCAGAACGTTTTTAAAAAGTGTTCTGGAATAAAATGCAGCGGTTAAAAGCAATAGGCACACAATTTTGTCAGTTATGTATATATGGTTATATAGATATTAGCAGCTATTTAGTTATGTGAGGATCCGAATCCAGACTTTCCATGTATTTACATCATTTTGTTCATAATTTCACATTGTAGCTATACTTTTGTTCAATAACTGTCAACTTTTACACCTGGGAGCTAAACATTTGTTAAGTTCTCAGGCCTAATAATGAAGCTTTCTCATCACCTTTTGACCTAATATCTCACTTTCACCAGTACAAAATTAGAACAGAACAACAAAGTGACGCAGTCGTCGCCCCGTCCTCGAAGAGATCAGTCTCAAGTTCCGTATCTTTTTCCGTGTGCGTTGTGCCTATTTTCTGGATTAACATCGACCCAAAATACTTGATTGTCTAACTGGATTAACTTCGTTGTCAAGACCTACTAGCAACTCACTAAAACTCAAGGTATTTATCGCCATGCGCAACTTATGTAAACTCTCTCTCTCTCTCTCGAGAACCGCGAAACTGTAACAGAACTCTAAAATCCAATTTAATATCTATTTTATAACAATTGTAGCACAGATCTCTAAAACTAGCCTAGTTAAAATCGATATATTTTATATCCTGTATGGCCTATAGTTACGTATTAAACCATTGTTACGTTAAAGAGTCTCTGAGTGAGTCACTTTCGGTGCGCAGTCTCTCTCTCCATCCCAAATCCATTCGCTCACACACGTGATCGTTCATGCGAGAATACAACGGTTTCTGTGTCTGTCTTGACGAAACTTGTCATTGCGATCTTCGCCGACATGATGGCGACCCTTCGGTCACGTGGTGCCAAAGTATAGGGAGGCCCTTCAGCATTGTCACAGTAAATTTATTATTAATTACCTATTCATTTTGTTCATAAGATGATTGTAATTATTAATAAGGCACAGTAGCTGTAAAAGAAGATTTTAGCAATGTTCTGGAATAAGTTTCATTTGTTATATAATAATGTTTGATTTTCCTGAGGAAGGTCAATAAAGTAGACTGAAAATGTTAGAAGTTTAAATAAAAAAGACTGTATCTTAAAGGGTTTTCATTGTTGATTGATTTAAGTGCAGATAAAGAATATATAATTTAATTTAATAAAATGATTCTTTATAGAATGAAGATGGAATTAGTCTTTTTATGTGCTTAATTTTTCAAAATAATTACTACACTATAAGCAGTAGACCAGACTATATTTGATAAGAAATTGTTTAAAACTTAAATACTTTAGTTTTTATCAGTTATATTTAATATTCTGTAATTTGCTATTGGTTTAGTAGTATCATATTAGATAGTTCTAATTTATGAGATTTTTAATTCTGAAATTTGAGATGTAGAGATTTTATTATAAACACATATGTAGTAGATATATAAAATGGTTTACTTGCAAACTTGAATATTGAAATAATGAAAATTTGTTAGATTATCCAGTATTAAACACAATATTATTTTGTAGAAAGAAATTTACTAAATGTATTGGGTATAAAAATATCCACTTTTTATAATACTTTCACTTTAGTATTTTATAATTAATTAGTAAACTTTTATAAATATAAAAATTTTACATTTAGTAAGTAATAAAAATTTTTAAAATTAGTCACTTTTAGAATAACAAATTGCAAATTATATTCTATTGATAAATTGAAACATTGTTAAAAATATTTTTTAATGTACAGATGATTCTTAATGTTAAAAAAATAACATGTATTTGTTTTGGCAAAAAATATAAACAATAGTTTCCAAACAAACAAATGCTAAATGTTTCATTTTTTTCTAACTTGAGAACAAAATCGTTTAATATTGACAATTCTGTTGAAGAAGTCAACAAAGGTTAAAAGTTATCTGTTCATATTTTGCACTCTTTCTGTTTGGTCCAGTTTTTAATTAAAATTTCTTACAGAAATTTATTGAAATTTTAATGATTCACTGGAATTTTCTTTTAAAAGATTTGATAAATTACATTTGAGTCATTGATAGCGATTTACTGTATATATACAATTTTGCTGTCATAGATCGTAAACAAATTTTCTTAAGAAAAGATATATTTATAAAAATCATTGTTTAGTGAAAGTTTACCAACTATTTATTGTATATGCTCAAAAAAGATGAGAAGAAATGTGTAATTCTGGAAACCAAATTTAATTTTTATTCAGTAACATTTTTGTTCTTTTATAAGAACATCATCAGTTGTATGTTAGAACTAATGTTCTTATAAAAGAACAAAAACATTACTGAATAAAAATTTAATTTGGTTTCCAGAATTAAGAATTTTTTTTCTTTTTAATCTTTTTGAATATGGTGTCAAATTCAAGTGATATTTTTGTGTATATTCTCAAGTTCTTTACAAATAAAAAGTTACATTTATATCATAAATACTTCAAACCAGATATTTAAAGCATAATATCTAATCTCAAAATTATACTCACTAGTGACCATATGAATATAATCATTAAACACTGTGGATGGTTCCTGGTTTGCATCTGACCAACAGGTTGGCCATGCAAAGTTTGTCGTATTTCCTTCACATGTCTAACATCAAAATAGGGGCTAGTTTCTCATAGAAAAGACCTCCCAGGAGGTGCTCTTTTGTTTGTTGCCTTATATTATCAAACAAAAGAAACTAATCTCGGAAATAAAGTATGCTCTACTTATTGTAATTACAGATATTGCTACCAGTTGTTTAATGTTATTAGAATTAGCTTAAAGCAAAGCATTTAAGTTACTAATAATAATTATTAATGTTATTAAAATTATAACATTAAGAAATAATGTCTTGCTTGCATTGCTTATGTCTTCATCTGGTGTAGTATAGTATTTTTTGATAACTTGAAGTTGAAGGGACAGAAAGTTTTAGTGTTAGTGAATTTTGAGTTATGGAAAGTTTGAAAATATCATAATATAAACAATATAGTTAGACTTAAATACATTATTTTTTTAGATAATTTTCAACAGCTAAATACTCACATTTATGCTCTTTTTTCAGTCCTATCTGATTCTGTCATTCATTGAGTCACTCAGTGGAATATCAAATTCTTCTGCAATTTCTAATATCTTTTGTTCTTACTTTCCTCCATGTCTTTATGAGGATAACTTTTCTGATATTGACAAAATCATTAGTTTTCTCTTGTTCATCATTTCTATCTACTTTGAAATGAAAATAGTCAATATACTGCTTGTATCAATACAATCAATGTATTGACTATTTTCATCCAAAATTGGTCAGTATCAATGATCAAAATGTCAACATACAATTCAAACCTTACTGTAAAAATTATACAGGATGAATATTTAGTTTCAAGTAAGGAGATATGCAATAAAAAACTCTTATTTGATTGGCCAATAACTCAGAGGTGTTTATTAATTTTAGGTTAAAATGTCATTAAAATTTGAATTTTAAGTTGTGTAGTCAGAAGCATAATTCTATACAATACCAGTCTTCAGTTTTATGATATCATCATCTATCTCTTGAAATTGCAAAAGAAAACATACAAAATTAGACATGAAATAATCTCCAAATCATAAATTTCAAATTAATGAAATGTGATCTCAAAACTACTGTGACTTTTAGAAATATCATAATGCATTGAGTCTGAGATTTAAGTTGGAACAAAAATAAAATTGAGTGAAAGAAGTTCAATTTATCAAGACTCCTATACTAGGTAGCAGTGTCAACTGTGTAGCACACAATTCACTAACATATACATTGTTTATTATTATTATTAATGTTAAATTGAAGATTTATTAAATCATTTTAACGTGTCTTTTTAATGTCAATAAAATCATGCAAGTCCCAAAGTGATTACAATAAACAGTCTGCTGTATTTAAAATATTTTTGAACAAAATTTTCTATTGATTTAGGAATTGTTGAATGTTAAACTTTAATTATTTATTTTCAATAATAATAATATTTGTAATTAAAATAAAATTATTTCAACACAGATTCACATGGTAATGTAGAGTGTAATTGTCTTCCTGGACATCGTGGTTCAGATTGCCAGCTATGCACTGCTGGATATGAATGGAAAGAAAATCATTGCATTCCGTTTAATTGTTACAGCAATACAATTTGTAAGAAAGATAAAAGTGCTCCAGGATGTGAGGAATGCACATTATTTGAAGAATCTTCTAATCATCTTCCTCCAATACCTCATAAATCTGGTAAAAAGATTTTTATATATTAATAAATAAGTAATTAGTTCAAATAATATAGGATATCTACAATTTATTGACTGACTGAATTAAGATATTTGATAAAACATAACCATAACAAGTATAGGAAAATATTTTTTTCAGCAAATACAGCAACCCAAAAAGTTGTTTTATCACAAAGCTAAAAGGATTTAAGAAATATAATAAATTTCAACAAGGAGTACTTTCAGTAGTACATACAATATTCAATCTGTAATTAATTTCAATCATAATGTATCTTGTTATTTATGAGTCTTTCTTGTTTCTCAACATATCTTGGAAGACTGAGCAGTGGGCTTCCACTGACCAATGTTTCAATTCTGCATTGTTGATAATCTTTTCACATATTCTGTCCTATATGTAACCCTATGAAATACTCTGTCATGAAATCTGTTGGAGATTGGAATAGGGACATGGCAGCCAATTCATTTACCAGGACATTCTTAGAAACAAATTTCTGGGCATTCCTAAAAATTTTTTGTTGCTGTATTCAATGAAAAGAATCTCATGTTACGTGTTCTGATTAATTTTTTACTTTTCCAGCTGTTATATATAACAGAGAGAAAATATGGTAATTGGTCAAAAAATGACCCTCCCCAAGATTTTTACATTTCTAGACTTAGAACACCTTAAAATGTCAAGATGTTTAATGTGTGTGGGAAGGGTACAATTTTGTTCATCCTCTTTGAGGCTTAATAACTCCTGTGCTTTCTGTCAAAAATTTATGAAATTTTGCAGGGAGGTTTGTTTATTAGGAGGATTGATGCTATTAAATTTTGGTAGTTAAAGTTTGAGGAGGAGATAAAGGGAGATCATGTGTTATATCTCAAGTAGGATTGGACTTAATGATGATTTTACTTGCTAACATTTACAATTTTTTATAAAACCCATCTGTACACTCAAAATTAAGCATTTTGCCATTTTATAATAGTTAAAAATATAAAAAGTTTTTTAATAAAATATGATAACAAATGGTGCTATTAAATGTTGTTGGAAAAGTTAAGTAACTTGTTGCTGAAGTTTTTACTAAGAATTATATTCTGATCAATAAATTGTAGATATCCCCATTTAATTAAAATATATCCAAGTAGTAGGATTATAAATATCCATAAAAATGTTGTAAACTTTTTAATGAAAGGAAGAATTATCAATAAAATATGGTCAAAATATTTATAAATATTAAAAATATATTACAGATAGGACAATAGCAGATGGGACTGTACCTCTTATTGCAGTTGTTGTCACTCTTGGTATTTTAGTATTGGTTGCATCAATTGCTACTTGTTATCGTTATTGGACAATTCGTCGAAACCGTCCACGCATACCATTTTGGAGCATAGAATTACAGGACGATAATCCTCCAAATTGCAACTATCAGCATCTAGATGTTTCAACAAATAAAATTATTGAAACACCAACAAGTTCATTGGAAGCAGGAAAATTGTATTCACCTTCATCTCCAAAGACTTATAATGCCATCAATGTTTGAAAAGTTTTAATTGTGATTGACCAAAAACAAACAAAAACAAAAACTAATACATAACTATGCATTTGTAAATGAAATGCATGAAAATTTTTTAAAATTGTGAAAAATGAATTAAACTCATATTCTAGTCTGTGCCTTTTGCTTCTGAAACCACCATGATATAAATACTCAATTATGGCACATTTAAAATATAAAAATATCCATAAAAATGGAATATTTAATAACTTGAAAAGTATTTTATATATGTATACAAAACTTCATTTTTTTTAATTTTAAAATCATAATTTACAAAATTTACAAGTAAAAATAAATGATTGAATATTTTTAATTCCTGAAAATATGCAAATCATACTTTATCACTCATTAATAATAGTCATTAGCTCAGGTGTCATAATTAAAAAAATATGTAAATTAAAGTGAACTTTTTATGTAAAATTCAAGTGTTTTATTTAATGTAGGCACATTGTATTATAAATATTGCATGATAAATGTTGTGAAGTACAGTGAATCTTGATGTATTGTGATCTGTTATACAAATATATATATAAAGTGCCATTTATTTGTTATATACATTCTTATTATGTACTTGCAGTTTTTTGCAATGTTCATTATTAATGTATTATATTTGAATACCATCATCTTAATATTTATAACATGTGACAAATCAACAATTTAGTCAAATTGCAAAATGCATAACATATCAATTATACGAAAGTTATAAGTGATAACTTTAACTCAAAGAATTATTGAGGATATTCAAAAATATATTTAAAGTTTTAATATAAGATGCTCAAATTTTATAGAAAAAAATAAAACAAAATAAATCTGATTGTATAAGCAAAGTAAAATGCAGTTGCTCATTTTATATTCTAAATTTATCTTAAAAATAAATAAGTCACAGGAATTTTACCATTTTCCACAGCAAATTTTGCCATATTTTCGTAGCATTTGATACAGGACACAAAACAATGTTTTTTAATAAGTCATTGTTTCCTCAAAATGTTCCAGCAACTAAATCAATGACATTTGTATTAAATGACTTCCATAAGTAATAGATAAAATACAGTAGTAAAGGTAGTATTTATAAAATATATATATAAGCTAATATAATTTATTGTAAAATGTTGAAATGTAAATTAATAATAGATACTATGCACAATTGCATATCAATGAAAATAAAGTTTGATTTCCTTTTAAGCTTGTTGTATTAAATCAATTACTAAAAAAATTCACAATGTTTTGTCTTTAAATAAGCTTGAAACAAAATCCACAAATTTCAATTTCTCAATTTTCCAACATGTAGATTAATGTATAATTATATTTAGACATACTCAATATTTCTGTTGTAGATTAAAAATAGGGTCATTTCATATAAGAGATTATCCTTAAAGAGTGAAGAGAAAGAAAAACAAATTACAAATTTTAGGTTATTAATAATTGATTGGATAGACTATTAAAGAGTAAGGACACACTTAGCACAATGAGGAATTTGGACTCTCTTTTCAAGGATAGTTTTTGTCAAAAACTAAACTTGAAACTATTAAACTTGCTGTGAATCAAAGTCTGCCATATGGTTGTAAAAGACTAGCTAGGCCATGAGCCAAAAATACAATCCAGTATAATTTTGAAGCCATAATTAAAATTTAACATACCGTATTTACTCGCATATAAGACGAAGTTTTTATCCATTTTTCACTGCTTCAAAAACCTAGATCGTCCTATATGCACAAGTGAAGGATTCATTTCATTTTTGTAAATGGTATTCGCATTTTTTTCTGGATTCTCACCTTTTGGTGTCTAAAAACAAAAGTATTTTATCTGGGTCGTTTGAATCGTTCTTGTGTATTGTCAGGAGTAAAGATGAATAGCAATAGGAAAAGCAAAGCTTTTGAATTGAATTTCAGAATTACATGAGAGTCTGATATAAGTTTTAATTCATTCCCACATAAAAACAGATGATTATTTGGAAATCAGAATTCAGAGAAACTCATAAGTGTAATCGATGAAGAGTGAATTCAACTGTTAAGAATTGGCAAAAAAAAGGTTCACGATTGTCTGGCTTTATGTGAACAAATTATGTTGTTGATTTTACAAGATTTTTCCATAAAGTGTAAAATGCCAGTAATTTTTGCGGGATAATGTGTGCATTTACATGCATTTGATAATGTTTTATTTGTGATTAAACAAAATAAAATCAGAATTGTGTTAATGTATCTAATTTTCTTTATTTTGATCTTTAAAGTCACACCTCGTCTTATATTTGAGTAAATACGGTATCTTGTATTATTCTTGCATTCTGTTTTTTTTTTCTTTGAGCAAATGTTAGTATTTAAAAGCATATTAATACCTAAAAATACATTGTTAGTGATATCTTTTAAATCAATTGTATTTGATGTTAGCAGCCAGATGGCTGGCAGTTAAGATGTCAGTTTACTACTATAGAAGAAAGACCCAGGATTGAGTCCAGGCAAACAACAACAGTAATTTTTTGTGGGTGGTTTATCCTAGATATCCCTTTCCTACTGCTTGACTGTCTCACTGTGAGCCTGACCAAACCCATGATGGCCCTGGGAAAAAGCACAATGCCCACAGGGAGGAAAGAGTAAAAAATATGGAACAATTTTTTTATTCATTTTCCAAAAAGATTCATAGCAAATAAAAAATTTTTTATAGAAACATTATATTTAAATGTATTTAATCCATTCAATAAGGATGGGAAAATAATTTTTGTTATACAGGGTGTATTTTTTATCTTGAGACAATGAAATATCTTAATTGGATCTCATTATTTTGGAAAAAGGTATAGAAAAAAGTTGTAGGGTGTCCAGGGGAAATCAAATGGTGACCTCAGACTTGACCTTCGATGTCATTTGGAGGTGAAGTCTTTTTTTTAATGGGAACACATATTTTTGACCCCGGAAATAGAAAGAGCAGGAAATTTTACATTCAGATATACCCTTGATCTTAAGTCTAGGTCAAAGGTCAGTATTATTTTAAGGTTAAAATTAAAAGCTTTTACTAATGGGAGACCATATTTTTTATTACTGGAATAGACAGGGAGATAAAATTTACATTTTTTCACAACCTTATTACTTTCACCTTTAAAGGCATTCACTACTTTTAGCATTACCCAGGAGTAACAATGTGGACATAGTAGTTTTCTGCATCTTTTAAGGTGCTTATTTTCAGTCACCTTGCCTTTCACTATTGGGGTGTATGTTTTCGGTGAGTCACTTTACTTCTCACCATTGCTTGAGATATTGGTTTTGGGGAAAATTTTATAACAAATGTTCAAACTGATGCTTTTCCACTTCAATGCATTTATTGAACTGCGCTTAAAATTATCGAGTTTGAGATGACCTTCAGAAGTCAAATTCGGAATACTCAAGGTCATAGCTGATTGTGAAATTTTACCTGCCTGTCTATTCCAGTAATAAAAAATATGGTTTCCCATTAGTAAAAGCTTTTAATTTTAACCTTAATATAACCTTGACCTTTGACCTAAATCGTAAGATCAAGGGTATATCTGAATGTAAAATTTCCTGCTCTTTTCATTTCCGGGGTCAAAAATGTGTGTTCCAATTGAAAAAAAAACAGAAGTGACCTCCAAACGATCTTGAAGGTCAAGGTCACGTCTGAGTTCACCAATTGATTGCCCCCTTGACACCCTACATTTTTTCTATACCTTTTTCCAAAATAATGAGATCCAATTAAGATATTTCATTGTCTCAAGATAAAAAAAATACACCCTGTATATATTTAAGAAATATGAATAAAAGTAAAGGCTATATTCTGAATATTTATTTTAAAACTTTTAATATTTTAATTTAGATGGAACATTTAAGTGAACACTCACATAATTTAAAAATTTATGTATTTAAACATATATTTGGAATTTAAATAAATATTGGATTGTAAATCATAAAATTTAAACTTTCTAGTTCTTAATTTCGGCAAAATTTTCTGGATCAATGGATAAAATGCATGCAAACGTTAATAAAAATCTATGATATCAACTGTAATAACACCTTTATTTGAACTGTTTTTAATTATATATTTGCTTTTTTATAATTTATGACTCAATATTGTATCTTTCTAAATGTTGAACGATAGTTCACACATACAAATTCTTCAAATTCTGATATAATATAATCACCATTTCATTTAGATACTCGTGACGTCGCATGCCTCGCAGAAAATGCTACAACGTAAATGACCACATAATCCATAGCTTCGAAATAGTGGTTGAAAGCATGATACTTTACTGGTATGCAGTTTAGAAGTTACCGGTACATCTCAAATATGAAAACCTATCACCGTAAATTGTAGATGTTATAAAATAAGTAAAAAATATTACTGAGAGGAACTTCATGTTTGCAAGAGACAATGCCAATCGAGGGCAATTTTGTTTTGGTCACATTACTTCATTTATTGTCTTTATTAAATAATAATTAAATATATAATAATAATAATACTAAATGTTAAATAAAGTCAGAAAAAATTAAATAGAAAACGAGCAATTATTTATAGTGACATTGTTACTAGGGTTTCTCAAACGGGATTCTGGAATCCCGGTTGTTTTTTTAACCCGGAAATTTTTCTTATCCCGAGAAATCCCACAAATTTCTTAAAAGTTCACTTTTTTCTTATTTTGTGTTAAGATTGAGGATATTTTGCAAATAGAAAGCATAATTAACCAGTGGCGTGCCGTCGGAAAACTTTGAAAATGTTAACAACGGGTTCGGCCGAACCTTTGTGAACCCCCTGAATATCACCACTGCATCCACCCTAGGTCCTAGGCTTCCACCAGCTAAACCGGGTGAGGTTGGTGTTCTGTAAAGCGCATGCGCAAATCTGGCTGTTTGGAAGTTGACAATACAGCGCTTCCACTTTGCCACTAATATTCGAATACACAATAGCAATCTTATCTTTTTTTTCCCGTGTAGTATATTTTTGCGGGATAATGTGTGCATTTACATGCATTTGATAATGTTTTATTTGTGATTAAACAAAATAAAATCAGAATTGTGTTAATGTATCTAATTTTCTTTATTTTGATCTTTAAAGTCACACCTCGTCTTATATTTGAGTAAATACGGTATCTTGTATTATTCTTGCATTCTGTTTTTTTTTTCTTTGAGCAAATGTTAGTATTTAAAAGCATATTAATACCTAAAAATACATTGTTAGTGATATCTTTTAAATCAATTGTATTTGATGTTAGCAGCCAGATGGCTGGCAGTTAAGATGTCAGTTTACTACTATAGAAGAAAGACCCAGGATTGAGTCCAGGCAAACAACAACAGTAATTTTTTGTGGGTGGTTTATCCTAGATATCCCTTTCCTACTGCTTGACTGTCTCACTGTGAGCCTGACCAAACCCATGATGGCCCTGGGAAAAAGCACAATGCCCACAGGGAGGAAAGAGTAAAAAAGATATGGAACAATTTTTTTATTCATTTTCCAAAAAGATTCATAGCAAATAAAAAATTTTTTATAGAAACATTATATTTAAATGTATTTAATCCATTCAATAAGGATGGGAAAATAATTTTTGTTATACAGGGTGTATTTTTTATCTTGAGACAATGAAATATCTTAATTGGATCTCATTATTTTGGAAAAAGGTATAGAAAAAAGTTGTAGGGTGTCCAGGGGAAATCAAATGGTGACCTCAGACTTGACCTTCGATGTCATTTGGAGGTGAAGTCTTTTTTTTAATGGGAACACATATTTTTGACCCCGGAAATAGAAAGAGCAGGAAATTTTACATTCAGATATACCCTNTTAGAGGGACGTAGTGAGATAGCGGAGACAGCAGACAAATCAGCCAAAAGTAGCGACTTTTGAAATTTTGTTTATTTATTTTTTGAGAAATTTAAATTTATGTTTATAGTTTTCAAATTTATAGATATTTCTCTACTTTATAGAGCTCTCTGGCGACGACTAATATTATTACGATATATAAAACTGTATTTCTAGATTTTTCTACAGTGTGCAGAGCTAGAAATCTGTAAAGATAACATTTTGTAATAAAAATAAATCTGCCCGGGGATTTTTTTAATTGCTAAATAGATAACGTGGTAACTCTCGAATAAAATCTTAGTCTCGAGGTTGTAAAAGGCGTGCAGAAATTCTGACATAACTTTTTGCTTTATATTAGTACCCATATGTGTT